TCTTTCATTTCAGTTGTTTTTTTTTTTTTTGTTTTTTTTCTCAACGTTGAGAATAATTTTATCGAGCCTTCGATTCTCGGGAATATTAAATGAAGCCGAGTCTTCGTTCTTTGTTCGACGGGTGATAGTAATAGATAGGATACTTTTTTTTAGAAATTTCGTATAACAAAATCACGAGCGTGAAAAAGAGAGGAAGAGGGAGAAAACTTCTTCAAAACTTTTTCATCATTAACGATCCTGTAACGAATCTTCTACTCCAGTTTTCGCAGTTTCGTCGAGAAAGTTGGGTGAAAAGAGGACTTTATCCAATTTTTGCAGGCCACCTATTGGGCGGGCAGGGGCCAGGAAAAATTTCAATTAACGGGGAAATTGCTCTAGGCGGCGGGTCCCGGCTCGCTGTATCGCGATAAGCGCGATGCAATTAGGAAAAAGTTGGTTGGGCAAGGCCGGAAGTCGATCTCGTTCGACGCTTCGCGAGAAAGAGGAGCGAGTGATTGCGCGTGTTTTCGTGAAAGAAACACGTGCTAATTGGCTTCGCTCGGGAATAGATAAAAATCGAATTTAACGAAGCGAGCCGGCGAAAAATTTAACGAAACAACACGATGCACGCTGTTCAATTATCAAAATTTAAAAAAAAAAGAAAAAAAAAAAAACGAAAAATTACGCGAACAAAGAGCATTGATTTATAAAAGCGAGGGACACTAATTAACCGACATAATATGGATCTTATCGAAAGATCGGTGGACCTATTTATATCCGGCCAACAATTTCGAATCGAGAAGCGTGAAACGGCACGTTGATCACAGAGAGGCGAAAAAGCAGCTGGAAACAGCGAGCAGCGACCGTTAACGGTCGGGGAAAGTTCATCGTCCCGAAAATTTGTTACCCGCGATTGCAGCGCCGCGATTCCCAAAATTGTTACGTAATAATCGACTTCCGGTGGCGACGATCCATCCATTTGACGTTGGCCGTGGCCAAACGGTCGGAAAACGTCGAGGCAACGAGCCACCAGAAAATTATCGTCCCGATCTCCAGCGACAACCTCGGAAATGGAGCCATATTGTGAGCCCCCACCAAGATGGCCACCCGTCGTGCACCGTGTTCCGTGCACAGCCGATACATCGGAGGAGAGAGAGAGAGATAGAGAGAGAGACCGATATTTATACCGAAGACCAATCATCCGTGAAAATTGAGTAGATTCTTTTTAAAATGGAAATTGCCCGGTTATGGATGTTGATCGTAATTTTTATTTTTTACGAGTCGAAAGAAAATCTTGGCGTTCCATTTCGCGATGTACGAAGTGAAATTAGTCATGAATTTTCGAAGCTGGAGAATTTTCGACGATTGAGATTCGAAGAGGTAGATTCGTTCCTTTTTTTCTTTTCCAGATAACGCGTAGCTCGCGAATAATGCGTATTAATATCGCGTTGCAATATTTTTCACCATCGATATACCGGCATTACCGACCGAGAATCGGGAAGCCTGTCGTCATCCCCTCCCTCTCGAACACGCGCCATTTGATACTCGTGCCTTTTGTTCAAAGTATACGTGAACGCTACACATTCGGATATGCGGCGATGATCCGAGTAATATCCTTGGAGGAGAGATCGCATAGTAATACGTCTTTACCGTATTGATCGTCGCGTAATTCCGGATACCGCCGAGACGCCGCGGTAATATGTGATCACAGCCGAGTTAATCTGTCGGTGAATCTGTCGACAGTGGTGGTGCGTTGTTTGCTCGACGATCACAATTAATTGTTTCGCGCACGCTTGTTCTCGACATCGTTCGGAATCACCCTTTCACGATTGAATTGATACGTTGGATCACTAAGAGTAATACGATTTTCTTTTCTTTTTTTTTCAATTTCTTCAACTCTAATTCGCGCGAAATGAATCGATGGATAAATTGCAGGATGAAGTGAAATTAAATATTACCATTTACCCAACGGTAAAAACAGAGCAAATAGTATTCGTGTATAAATTCCAAGCGTTGGCTGTTATCCCACTCTCTCGTCGAGAGAGAGAGACAGAGAGCAAGAATATCGCTGAAATTCCTCCGATGCCCGAGGCGATATAACCCCCTTGTTAGAGGGAAATTGAGTTTAACTACGAGCTGCTCATTCGCTCGTTCCCATCTTCCTTCCTACGTTCTTTTTATCGCGCGTCAAGTCATCGAATCCGCGTATTTCCAGAAATAACGCTTGTTTCGATCGCGACGAGGGATACGGCAACAACAAGAGGAATAAGAAAAGGAACAATTCGTCCTTCTCGTTCTAAGCGCTGGAAGATATTCGCTGTAATTGATACTCGTAAAAATTTATTTCGTACACGGGGCTATAAATTATTATTATTGTTGACAAAGAGGGAAAGAAAATACGCGTATCTTTTTTTGTTTTTTCTTTTAATTTCGCCCATCTCTCTATCGCTATTTATTTTTTTTTTCTTTTGTCTTTTTTCGATCGTAAGAAGATTAGGAAAATTGAAAGAAACGGTGAATCGAAAACGAAAAAAATAAAAACTGATTGGACAGAACGAACCAAAAATTCGTAAAGGAAAAAAAAAAAGAAAAAAAAAAAAAAAGAAAGAAAATATTATGAAAACAAGACAAGTCCAGAAAAGAAAAACCAAATTCGACAATCTCGTCACGTAACGAACGTGCAATAAACCAATAATATGCATGCAACTCTATG